TTCTTCTTCTTCTTCTTCTTCTTCTTCTTCTTCTTCCTCTTCCTCTTCCTCTTCCTCCTCCCCCTCTTCCTCATCCTCTTTCTCCTTCTCCCTCCTCCTCCTTCTTCCTCTTCCTCTTCTTATTCTTCCTCTTCCTCCTCCTCCTTCTTCCCCCTCCTCCTCCTCCTCCTCCTCCTCCTCCTCTTTCTCCTCCTCCTTCTCTTTCTCCTCCTTTTCCTCCTTCTTCATGAGGTAGTCTCACTGTGTAGTGCAGGCTGACCTTAAACTTGCTCATGTAGCCAAGGCTGGCCTCAGACAGCTACCCTCCTGTATCAGCCTCCCAAGTGCTGAGATTGCAGGTGTGTGCCACCAGGCCTGGCAAGATTTCTTTCAGAGTACTCTTTATGTTACCACAGGATGACTGCTAGTATGTTTCTGTGCACTCCTTTTCCTCCACCTACATGAGCCAATTTGACTCAGAGGAGTAAGGATACTGTTAGAACCATCTTCATATCTCACCCATTGCTTGTTGTATAGAAGGTCCTGGTATAGTTAGTGCAGAATAGACAGCAGCATTTAGGGATTTACCAATGCCCACAGAAATTTTCATGCAGTCTTGGGTAACTAGAAGGGCCTGGGAGTCTGTGGAACAGGATGGAAGAACCATGTCCTTTTGGGAAGGCATCCCCTGGAATACCTCAGCTCCCATAGGGGACTTTATTTTACACCAGCAGGAAACAGCTAAAGAGAACTAGAAGAGACAGTCCATCTCCAGCAGCGGTGTGCTGAAGTGAGAGTGAGCCAAAAAGTCACTCTTGGGGGCTCTTCTGGGGGAAAAGGGAAGCAACGGAATACCACTGACACAAGCCAGCCTCGACAGTAAGAATGTCAGTTCGATGCAAGCAAGCCCTTCTTTTCTAATCAGCTTCTCTTCACCAGACTGCTTTGAGAAGGTGCCTTCACTTCACAAGCCTTCTTCCATCCTGCCTTTTGCCCTCCCCGAAGGCAGGAATACACACCTGCTATCCTAAAGGCTCCCATAAGGCTCGGAACAAAGCTTTGTTGGCGCCTTCTCATCCTAGAACCTTTATTGCTTTATGTCCAACTACTCAGGGACAACAGTGTCCTCACTTTGAGTCTGCTTAATATCTCCTCCTTCCCACTCCTCCACACGTCCATTAGGATGTGGGAATTTTTCAGCTAACGGCGGAGTCTTCAGAGCATCTGTGTGACTGTTTCTGCATTGGTTACATGGGGCAATGCTACAGTTTAGCAGGGGGGCACGTGACATGACGTGTTTTTCCTCCGGTCAAATGTGCACCTGTGGAGACTACCAAGCACCACCCCTCCCAGTGCATGCCGCGTGGGCAGAGATGCACCCTGATTCCTCTTTTGGGTAAGATGGCTCAAGAACTAGAGTAGAGTAGGGGCTCATAAGGAAAAAAGCATCCAATGGCCCCGGAAAGCGTGCCCAGAAATCACATGGGTGCAGAGCTCTGGCAGATAGTTTCTTCAGATTGGTAAAAACCGGTGCATTCTGGTTATCTCTTTATTCCCTGCTTTATTTAGGGTAACAACAATATTTGCTTCTGTACTGATGTACTGATGCCGTCCTCCATCAATACAAAAAGCACCCCGAGCCTGAGAAATACCAGAATCATCTCTCAGCACACTCCTGAGACCCCTTCTTATTCGGGAGCATGAACTCCTTTCCCTTTCCACAACTTCCACCCCCACACATCCCCTTTGCAGCCATCACAATACATTTTGTTTTAACAAGTGTTTGGGGCTCTGCTGCTATCAGTGAAGATATATGCTTCTCACTTGATTTTCCCCCACCTTTTCCTTTATACCCTTGGAAGTTGACTCCTGCCTTATGGAACAGCATGAAGCTATTATGGGCACTTTAATCCTTTCACAGACCTGAGCTTCCAGTATCAGAGAGTCCAGTTACACTGCACTTGACCTCATCTTGTTCTTCTTTTCCCTTGAAACTCTCCTTTGTGTTCCCTGGAATGCTACTAACTAGTCCGGAATGAATTAGGTCATTGTCATACTATGCTGGGATACTGGAATCTCCAAGTATGTCCTGGACTGCCCAGGACCCTGGCCACTTGGGACAGTGCAGGGCAGCCTGGATTGAGCCCTTCTCTAACATGAGGGGGAGGTTGCCTTTCTCACTAGAGGAAACATCAGCCTAGGCACTGTGTACTTGCTAAATTCCAGGCTCCCTCTGTGTCTTCCCATATTAGGTAATTCTGCCTTTAAAGTATTTTCCAATAGAGAGATGCAATGTCAGAAACTATCCTCACTTCTGTGATCAATTTCTAGGAATGAATTCTCTTCCAGGGTTAATGAGGAATCATGAAAAAAGGGAATTCTTTTGTTTCTGGATTTCAGGAATTTCAGTGGTAGCAGCAACCTCTGACCCAAGACTCCACTGTATTCATCAATCAGCTACTAGAAATTCTGACTTCTTTCCCCAGGGCTGCTGATAGTAATCAATGGAATAGATTCGGCTGAAATCACCCTTGACCTATGTATTTCTCTACACTTCCAACCCCCCTGTAACTCTGCCCATCAAGTCATCCTTTTCACTCTATCAATCTGGACAGAATCTTAGTTTCTTTCACTTATCCAACATTACTTCAGATTACTTTCTGTCATTTATTTGGCTTATAAAACAAAGAAGTCTTGGGTCTCTTCACTCCCATGTGACAAACCAGCTAAATCAGATCATGCAACAACTCCAGACAGAAAAAGAATGATAAATAGGTTCTTCAAGAAGAACATCCTAAAGTTGGATCATGTGAACCTTCAGGGTCCCAGGGGAATTCTGGTAGAAGGATTAGCAATCACACTCAACATGCTGTGGATCACAGTAATACTAGGGAGGAATGAAGGGATGAGAGGGAAAGCTCATGAGTCCTGTCCTCAGTGAAAAATGTTTGATTGAGATTAATAATTCTGGAAAGCAACATGGCCTGAGAATGGCTCATACTTGTGGGAAAATGAGTCCATGTTCCCTGCCAAGGTCAGTGAGGGGCTGGGCCTGCTGCCATGTAATTTTGATTTACAGCAGGAACTCATCGAGTGTGCCACCTGCCCTGAACTTCTCTAAACTGAGTTGAGCTTTTTCCCTGTCAGCAGCCATTGAAGGCTTTCCCCTGTCTTCCCAGCTTTAAAGTGACTCCCTAGGTTTTCCTTCAAGTCAAACAGAACCTGTCTCCAATGCCTTTTCTTAGGATAAGCAGAACCATGTCAAGATTCAAGAGGAAAAGGAGAAAATCCCTTTTTCCCTGTCTCCCCCACTTCACCCTTTCCATATGGCTTGCACTGGGAAGCGGGGTCATGCCATTGGATCTGGAACAGCAAGTTCTTCACCGAGGGTGACAAGCTCCAGGAACACTGGACCCACTATCTGTTTTCCTAGTTTCAACCACTAATGACTCTGGCATACCCGGGAGCGAGTGGAAAACTTTCAGAAGCCACAACCCAAACATTTTGGATACAAGTCATCGAGGCTCAGATTGTTTTGAGCTCCATGGGCTGGAGGTTAATGTGCATTGTGACGTCCAAACTTGGAGGTTCCCGGGGTAAGCTGAGGGGAAGCACACACACTGCTTGTTTATATTGTTTGTTCCACCTGGAAAATAAGTCTGCTCTTCAAAAGTGAAACTTAATGATCTCCGAGGGCTTTCTTCTCTGTTTGGACATCCCAATGCCCCAGGAAACTCAGAGGGTGTAATTCATGGATTTGTACAAAGGAGTTTTTGTTCATAACCTTGAAAAGTAGCAACTCTTTTTTTCTTTGTTTTTTTTACCAAATGTTTGATTTTGCTGTTCCTCACCTTCCTGATTTACGTTCTGGGAGCCACATGTTTAACTGCTCGATCATTTCATTCTGTAAGAATGCCTGCCCTTGGGCTGGTGAGATGGCTCAGTGGTCTAAAGCACCTACTTAGAACAAGCTTAACAAAGCAGAGGGACCGCAGTTCAATCCCCCAGCACCACATGCCAGCCAGCCCTGCCTCCTGGTGGGCTGAGCTGGCCACACACACATACGCTTACACACACACACAAATAAGTAAATAAATAAATAAATAAATAAATTTAAAAAAAAAAAGAATGCCTGCCCTTGTAAGCCTTCTGGGGGAACCACTGGCTCTATCTCTTCACTTTTTCATCTATCTCCAGACTAACCTGGAGGGGAGATACCTTTGTATGCCCAGGGTTTAGACCAGTGTCTGCTGCACAGATGCTATGCTTAGTAACTGTTGAATGAATATCCAAGTGTTCCTGGTACCTTGTCCTGTTGTCTCAGCATCCCATTAGAATTCTTTACCTCTGTGCCTATTTCCCGAGCTCATTTTGTGGATAGCTTGGGGTAGGATCCCAGGTCAGTTTGCATTTACAGCTCTCAAAGCATAATGTTTTTCAGGCAATGGATGTCAGACAGGTTTGTGAGTCTTTGAAACATATACATTACCCAGTTTGAGTCTCTCCCGGGCAAACTCCCATTTGCTGGCATCATAGGGAAGCCGCTCGCATTGCTCATCGAGGGGAACTTCATCGGGGTCCATTATAATTGATAGGTAGTCAGTTTTTATTTCTGAAGAAGACTGAGAAAGAGAGGTCAAAGTTACTAATAAGAAAATGATGCTAAAAACCCCAGGTCATCAATTTAAAACAATGCTTTGCAACATCCGCTGCACTGGGGCTTTTGCTTGGAACTGTGTGGTCAGGTGAAAGCATCGTATTTCTCCACAGGTGCATGCACACACCCTCACTGCCTTGAGAGTGCAGTTTCCATGTGATAACCCACTCCTCCCACATGCCATTTCTATAGTACAAGTTTAGCCACTCTGTCTCGATAAAATGCACTTAGATGCCCCAGTGACCCTATATGTTAAGCTTCTTCTGCAATAATTATGTGATAGTTTTCTAGAAAATGCAAGGAATATTTAGACAGCTATCCCAAATAGTGACTAAAACTCGCTTTTTGTGGCTATTCTGTACAAGCGGGAACATGTATTACAGGTGGACCAGCAATAGGACACACAGTAGCTTTTCTGTATTTTCCAGAAAGGCCAAAAGTAGTAAAGTAAACCAGGATCCCTTGGGCAGTGAAAACACATTTTTTTGTTGTTGTTTTGTGGTACTTGGGATTGAACCAGGACTTTTACAGTGAAGTAAATCCCCAGTCCTTTTGATATTTTGAGACAAGGTCTTCTTAAGTTTCCCAGAGCATACTTGAACTTCTGACTCCCCTGCTTTGGCCTCCTGGAGTGCTGGGATCACGGATGTGTGCCATCATGTCCACCTAAATGGCTCACCTCCGGTGCAAAATAGAAGCTGGTTATTTCAAAGTCCAAGGAGTAAATAGACACACACACACTACCACATCCTTGAGATCTTTTGGCCATTGGGAGGATATCAAATGAGTAAGTCAAACACCTATCTTGAAGTATTTGGTTTTTGATAATGTAAATAAAGCCTAGGGCATGTCTCTAGGTCAGGTTATAGATAACTGGACTTCCATTTAATGTTAGATCCACCACGCGTATATTTCCTGTTAACGGGCAGACTTTTGGAACTGATGACTACATTTCTGTGGGCCCATTCTTGGACCAGACAGAAAGGAAGCATGCTTTCCCATCTAACTTTTGCCTAGCAGCTACATGAACTTCATTTCAGTGAGTGTTGAGGTTCTCCTTTCTGGAACTTTCCCTGAGCTTGATCAGAGCTAGAGGACGGAAGACAACCTATCCATACATGCCATGTCACACCCACCACATTTATCTGCCCTTACTCAGCCTGTTGTGGGCTATTGCCACTCACCTCATCCATCACTTGAAACTGTTCTTATTCTACAAAAATTATCAGTAAAATGTGTGACTAACAGCTCAAGACAGAAAGGTTTGCCTGGTATTCATACAGATTGGACATAAAAATAAATGGAGCAGTGGAAGAATAAAAAATATAGAGTAATAAAAATGTGTTTGTCACTAACTACAATTGCCATTGGTGTGAGCCAGTAAGGCCCCACCAGTTTATAAGCTTATAGGAGATTTTTGATTCAGATGCAAGGTGCTGGGTGTTCATGAGAGAAACTTTGGGTGTAGGTTTAGTGACTAGTAATCATTTCAATGTCCAGTACAACCAAGGACAAGAGCAACAGCCTCCAGCCACCAACGAGCGTAGAATTGCTGAAGCCTATTATGACGATTGATTGGTTCTGTCAATTTGAGTAAGAGAAGCTCAACTAAATTGGGCCAGCAATTTTACAACCTAAGGTAGCTTTTCACTTGGATAGTATAAAAGAGAAAATGAAGAAGAACAGGTCTGTTTCTGTTTCTTCAGAGGAGCTCCAGTCTTCACCATCATCTTGGATGTCATCCCTTGGCTCTCAGTGTGGATGCTTTGGCTTCCAGTGCAGACCCTCAGCTTTCTGACATAGACTGTTTAGCCTTTCATTGCAGACCCACCAGCCTCCAGATACAGACTCCCCTAGGACACTGTGGTGAGCTCTAGACCCTCTACTGAATCCTTTGGCCTCCAGTGTGCAGATACCCTCCACATGCTTCCTCATCCAACTTTGTGGGCAGCCCCTAGAAACCAGTCTTGTAAGTTCTTACATGTTTGTATATTTTCTGTTACATCTGTTTCACTAGTAAACACTGACTAATACACCTAGCAAGGCATGCCTTGGGTTTATGCAGTATGTTGAGGGAGGTTGGCAGTAATGCTGATGGGGACAGAGGAATAGGCAATGGGAGACGAGGTCTCCATGGAATGTTATGGATTAATCTCAATAAGACAGATGAAAAAATGCCACACAGCCTTCAAAGAATTTGAGGGGAGCATGAAAGTTGAATGTTAGTTGACAACACTAATTCTTTGAAGTGACATTAACACTGCCACTACATGCTTGGCATGGAGACTAATGCCTGGGTTAGAGTCAAGCCTTCTATTCAGCTGCTGACCAGCCTCAATCATGGCCAAGTTGCTTAATCTCTCCAAGCCCAGTTTCCTATCTATACAATAGTGATAGTAATCACACTTTTCTCAGGGTTGTTGTGAAGATAAAATGAAATAATCCATGTAACGCTATTAGAACAGGACTTGGTTGTATGCATCAATGAATGATAGCTGTAATTATGAAACTGGCTGTAAGCACAGGGCAGTAATAAAAAGATAAAATGCAATCTTTATCAATGAGGAGTTTACAGTGTGATTAGAAAATCATGTGGCTATTTTTCTTTCTCACCCCTTCAGTGTTAGGGATGGAACCCAAGAGCCTATGAATAGAAGGCAAGAATTCTACCACTGAATTACACCTTCTGCCCCTCACAAGGCAGTATTTTTTGATGCTTTCTTTGATTAACCTTCCATGATCAATTTTTAAAAAAAATTATGGTGTATCTTTGTAATATATAATACTGTATATACCACCATCATGAGGAATTGATACATAAACTTGTCTCATTATCAAATTTTAGAGACTTTCTGTTTTTCCTTCATTTTTAAAATTTTTTGAGACACATTCTTGCTGCCTGGCCCAGGCTGGCTTTGACTTTATCATCCTCCTTCCTTAGCCTCTCAAGTGCTGGGATTACATTCAGATACTACTATACCTGGCAATTCATTCTATTTTTGAGGTAATAATCTTATTCCTATCACCAGCATTTTGTAATTTTATAAATAGAAGGGACTTTGTCAGTTTGGTCTCCATTTGTCCTTTCAGTCTAATTTCTACTGTGCTCCAACACGCTAAGTAACCAGATGATCTCCCCAGTTTGGGGCACAGGAAGAGGCAGAGCCAACTCTTTTTTTCTGCTGCTTTGCTTAAAGCTTCCAAAGTCTGCCTCAGGCATTATTTTCTCTGGAGCCTATTCACTCTTCTCCTCCTTGGAACTCTTATAATTTTGTTCCTCTATTATAGATCTGGCAAGTTCTGCTTTCATTAGAGTTACATCCCTAGATGTCATATTCTGTCTTTCAAAACTATTGTGGGCTCTGTTTCTTCTAAAGCCACAGCTTTAACTGTCATGTCTCAGAATCACTCACTCCATATGGAACTAGTCTGGTGTCACACATACACACACACACACACACACACACACACACACATATCATGTGTATTGACTGCTAGGCTTCTCTCTAATCACTGATGTTTTCATGCGTGCTTTGGTCTTAAATATCAAGTGTGAGATCAAAGAGCCACTGTTTGAAACTATTCTTCAACTATAATCACTTGAACCAGTTACTCTACCTCTCTAAGCCTTTGCTTCTCTCTATATAAAATGGGAACAATAATATACCTACCTCTTTGCATTTTGGGAAGGATTTTTTTGGGGGAGGGGGAAAAGATTAACTGAGACAGACATTCCATAAAAGACTTCCCATAAGACCTGGCACATTAATAAGTGCTAATCTCTTGAAATTGTGAGATCTCCTGGCTCTTCCCAAGTCCTGTTGTTTCAGTCTCATACATATCTCTCAACTCTATGTCACTTCCTATTTGAAGTGACATAGTGTAACTTCATACTGTAACTCTTGCCAGGGGTGTGGATGGCCCCCACATCCATTCTTGCTACTGCTGATCCATAGCAGTCAAAATAAACTTTCCGGGTACAGATCTGTCACACATCTACCTTGGCTTAACATCCCTCCCATCCTCAAGGCTTCCCATGGCTCATTGAATATAGACTCAGTTCCTTCTGGTGGCCTACAAAGCTCTGCCTGGCCAGGATCTACAGCCCTGTCCTGGCTTTCCTGAGTAGCGTAACCTCATAACAGTTGCCCTCATGGTCCCATGGCAGCCCTGTTGGCCACTGTCATTCTCTCCTGCTCACTGTGTCCCCCGGCCTGGCCCAGCCTCAGAAATTCTCCTCCCTCTGCCTCGTACACTTCTCCCTCCTCCTTTGCCTGGCCACCCTCTTCTTCATCTTTTGGTTCAAGAACTCTTTCAGCTGACACAGTTGCAGTATTTCATTTGACTGTGGTTGATATAAGTCAGTCTCCTCCCAGACTTCACACTTGGGCACATGTACTCTACCATGAGAACGGTCCTAGTAATTCTTTGAGGCATGAGTGGATAATGAATATTAGTCTTTCCACCAAATAGCAGAGAAGCAAATCACTTTGCAGCTGCTTATAGAACTCCATTGTCCTGAGTTCAAACCAAGAATTGCTGGTTTCTGGTTACACTCTGCTGGTTACACTCTGCAACCACTGTAATCCCGAGGATAGAACAGCAGTGTCCTTATTTGTGTGCCTGTAATGCTTTGAAAGCCAAGCCAGAGGAGGCTTTCTATTTTTTATCTTTTTATTGTTTAGTAGGGAACAAGGTTAAGACCAGAAGACCTCATAGAACTCATGCTAAGTTTAATTTAGAGTCTCTTACAAGGCTGAGGGTATAGCTCATAGATGGAGTTAATGGGGACAAGGCCTGGGCTTAATCCCCAGCAAAAAGGAAGGCCATGACATAGTTTTTAAGATCAAAATACCCCACAATTTCTTTGCCTCTGAGGAATAGTCATTTGTTCATTGTCCTAGTATTTCTTCTGAATACCTCACTTGTAGTTAGCAATGTCTTAATCTTGTTTTCACTATTCTCTGGGTCAGGGATACAGATGGGAAGGAAAGGACAGAAGAAGTTCCTGTATTTATTAGGAGCTTGCTCTAAACAGCTGAGTGGGAAGTTTTGAGTATCATGTAAAAGGAGCAAAGAACTTCATCTGATAAAGTCTTACCCTTTTCAGTTTTCGGATAAAGAGAGTTAACAGGAGCCAGAAGAGGGTTGCGGCCACACAGGTGCATGTCAGAGTGATCAGCTCCAGATTAGACTTGTCTGAAGTTCCTGCAGAGAGAAAATCACCAAGCTGCTGCTGAAAAGGAACGCAGAAATTCCCGGTGGTCGCGGCTTCCAAAGGCCCGTGCCCCTCTGTGGCTCAGCCTTGAGAATGGGACCTGCTAGCATGGAACGAGCCTCGGAGTTGGCCCTCGCCTTCTGACTCAGACAGCGCACACTGTGCCGCCACAAGTTCACACATGAAAGGCTTTCCACAAGCTCTGCCGTTGAGTTTGCAAACTTTGAAATCCCAGAGACAGCTAATTAAAAATCAGAGGAGAAATTAAAAATAGGGGAAAAAAGAAGGCAGGAACAAAAGTCCATTAAAGTGCTAAATCTGGACTATGTTCACGCTCCCTAATGGGTTAGAGGAAATTCTAAAGAAAAAGGAAAAAGTGACATAAAAGAGTTCCTTTGGGACTCACAAAATTCTTCAAAGCAGACTTGAAAAATAAAAATAAAACTCAAGGACTGTCACAGTTTTGCCTGCTTGCTCCTTTTGAAATAGCTACTCCAAACCACCCACAGTCCTCTGGCCTCACGGCCTCTGTCTGTAACCTCGTCAGCAGCCAGAGTGTCGGCTGGGATGAGAGGAGATTACTGCTGGGCTCGATCCCCCCAGCCACCCCGTTTTGCAGAATGACAGAGATGAAAAGCTGAGCAGAGTTGCTCCCGGGCCCACGCCCACTCCCAGAGGACCCAGAGTTCCCAAGGGGCACCTCCAGAAAAGAAATCTTGGAATGTACAAAGGAACACCGCAGATGGCCAGAGCAGTGGCTCCCTACTGTTGATTCTAATGCATAATTTCGCAGGACTTCTAAACAATGCCCTTATCCTTTTACCGCATGGAAACGAGACAGGTTTATAGTAAGGTAGGTCAAGAATAAGAGAACCTTTCTTTTTCTCAGAGATGATGATATCATTTCTTGAATACTTCTGTACCCCTCACATCTGCCCTATGAAGTAGGTGGCAGTAATAGCTCAGCTTCATAACTGCTTTATCTTCTGGGCTGTGTTTTCATTCACTAATGAGGTATTGAGTCTGCTACAGGCAAAGATGGCTGCTGGGGGAGGTAGGAAGCTGGGTAAGGGGGAGTTGCTATTTTCAAGAAGCCCATTCAGACCTAACTGAGACACTGATAGCAAATGTAAGGCAGTCAGCTTTAAAGAGAGCTTCGGAGGGTGAACTGTCTAGCATTTTCTGGCAGAGGTAACATTTGAAATGAATTGTCTGGAGCGATGAAGACGTGAGGTTGATGTTGGTAGTGGGAATGGAGAGGAAAGACCTAGACTTGCAGCCTAGGGCACTGATGGTGGTGTGAACCAGGGACAGGGCGGAGCCCAGGGCTCAGAGCAGCTGTCTGGTGGCTGGAACTAAATGTTGCAGGCAATTGGAGCCAGTGACTCTCCCCCACTCTGAATCATAGCACACGTACATGCTGGGAACCTGGGAATAACCACACAGTGATATTTACCGAGAGCTGGCTTCCTATGGACTCTTCTGAGGACTGACATGTGTTCATTCACCACGGTTCACGCCAACCCTACAAGCTAGCGGATTCCTATTTTATGAATGAGGAGCCGGAGACACAGAGATGAAGTCTCTTACTCGGAGCCATGCAGTCTGCGAGTGTTGGAGATGTTTTGCGGTAAAGGCAGGCTGCCAAGGAAGGGTTCACCACTTCACTCCCATCTCCTCAGTCCATAATGCGCTTATTAATCACTTTTCGTGGGCATGTTCATCGCCACAAATTATCTCGTGTCGAAAAGAAGCTGATGTCTTTTCTCTACTGGTCCTCACAGAGTCCTGTCCCTTCTACTTCCACAGCTCACAGAATTGTTGCCTCTACTAACCCACTCTCACTGCCTAAAGTAAAGTCTCTGTGCCTTGGCTTTGCCATTTCTCTCCCAGCATGTGAGCTTCCTGGGAGCCGAGGCAGCATCGCATCTTATTCATCCTGCTCCTCAGGTTGGGCAAATGGAAGGATTCACCTGCTGTATTCTTTGCAGACAGTTTAATGAGGCTGTCAAGAAAGTCAGGGCAATTCCCTCTCCAGTGTATTGATTCGGTAGACATGGACCCCAGTGGAACCCAGATCTTTTCAAAGGATTGGTGGTAAGAAAGTGCAGATACTGAGCTCTGAACTGCTGGATTTGTCTACCTCTGAATGAAACAACAGAATGTAGGATTGCAGTACTTTTTTCTCACAGCCACACCTGCAGCATTCAGGACTATCAGGCACACAAGAGACAGCCTAACATAGGTCAAGCGAATGACTGAGTCAGGCTTCGTTGTCTCCTTTGTCAGCTTTTAGTTAAGTTGCCCTGAATTTCCAGGGCTTGGAAACAACCTCTCTGAAGAAGTTTCAAAGTATGATAAGCCTTTCTCTCACCGTGCATCCTCACAGCAGAAACACTAAGCTCAAGTTCATGGGAACGGGAACTTCTTCTCCTGCAATGTGAGGTCGGATGCTACCTTGTACACACACACACACACACACACACACACACACACACACACACACACATCCTTGCTTATGCTAAAGAGCTGTGGAATTTGGTGGGCCTGCTGACGGGAAGGCACAGTGTGGCTTGTGGCTGTCACAGACACTGATAAATATCTTGAGACGTGGTACTGTCTGCGTAGAACCTCTGCAGAAGTTTCCCACATGGAATGTGCTGCTAGAGCCCCCCTCTGATTGTGGGAACTTTTTCACTGCATTCTGTGGGGGCAGGAAGCTGACCTCCAAAGTCCTAATTCCATAGTTCTTACTCAAGCAAAATTCCTTTCAATGGGACTGTGTTTGCATGCGGACACACATTCAGCATATTTAAGGAATCAACTTATTAAAAAACAACTCCAAGATAAACATAATTAGGCAGGAAAGACCTATTTAATATTAATAATATAAACAAAAGTAGAATTTTCAGTGTGTGATGTACTATCCATGCGCTCTCTCATTGGATGTATTTATCTCTGTTTTTGAAAAATAAGTGTCAGGATAATCTAATGATGAATAGACTGATCAGAGCAAGCTCTTAGGTGTTTTCTCAGCAGATAAATGTCCACTGGTCTGGCCAGACCCAGTTTCAGCTCACTGGTGCTAGCTGATGAGCTCAGTGTATGAAACAGCCCAGCTGTACTTGGCAGAGGAAGGAAGCTAGGGAGAATTAGAGGCAGAATTCTTAGCAATTAAGAGCAAGCGTGTGGTGTCAGGGACAGTTGCTTCCATATGATGTATGTGAAAGGCCAGCATCAGGACATAGTACAAGGCTATTTTATTTGGGATATTGACCACAATGTGGCCAATTAGAAAGGCATATGGTAATTGTGTCTTTTATGTTTGGTGTTATGGATTAAACAGAGGACCTCATCCATGTTAGGCAAGCACTCTGCCCGGAGTTACATCCCCAGTGGTCCTATTTTGTTTGTTGTTTGCTTATTTACTTATTTATGTATTTATTTTTACATCTTGACAGCCTTCCTAAATTGTGATCCTCCCAACTAGCAGAGATTGTGGGTGTGCACCACCTGCCTATCAATATTGTTTTTATCAGAATGCTGACCCGGTTGCACAGAGCAACCCGTATATCTTCCTAGGCTTCACACCATCCCTCCCGGGAGAGCAAGGTCAGGAGACAGGTCAGGTAGGCTGAGGTCTGAAGGCTGGTTTGGCTTGTTTAGAGTCAGCACTGCTGGTAGTGGCCTGAGCCTTCCTCCCAGCCTGCACTGTACTGTCTGGGAGCAGCACACAGCTCTGGAGTGTGGCACTGTGAACACCAGGCTGCTGGAACTGCAGCAGCAATGCCATTCAGCTTGCCTCATACACTGTTACAAGAAATAAAAACACCAGGGCATTTTGGCCTCAGGTCCTGGCTTGGCTTAGGGATCAAGCATAGACTTCAGCAGGAGCCGTGCTGAACCCTAGGAGCAGCTATGCTGGGGACCAAGGACTCTGCCTCAATTAACTTATCCTTAAAAAGTGGAGGTTGATAAGGAGAGTCACATGGAGGGAAAACATTCTCTCAGGCTTTCACAGAGAGCACATTGTCAAGCAATGGCCATGACTCCTCCACATGGCTGACATTAACAAAGGATCTACAAACTACGGTACAGGATTTCGGGGTAAATCCTGAGGGGATTTGACTGACCTTGTCTGATACAAAAGTTACATTTCTTGTTATATAGGTCTTGCTTTATCTTGGTCTTAACCATCCAGCAGAAAAGTATAAAAAAGAGGTATAAAAAGTAAAGCCATATTAATATGCTGAGCTGTAAAAGCCTCAAGTCAACGACTTCTGACATTGCCAGTCCTGCGGATAACCCACTACTATTATGGACTATTGGACTATATTGGATTATTTTGTTGAATTCACGCACCTACAATATTTAAATGGCAATTGAATACCCTTCTCTGACAAAACTAAACAAAAAAGGGGATACAAATGAACCACCATTTTGTATCTGTATATACAAAATAGTTAGGCTAGATATACAGCTACTTTCTCTTAATCAATGAGAAGATTTGTACTGATAGTATTTAGACAGGATATCATGTCTGCATCTTGCACTATGAATAACTACTACAAAGAATAACACTACAAAAACAATAAAAACCACTTCAAAGACAACAATTTGCAATGTACTAATTATTGAAACTGTCCTACTAATCAGTTTTGAAACTGTCTCATTGCTATTTTTTTCTCAATAAAATTAATTTTAAAAAAGTGGAGGTTAATAACAGTCCTTACCTCACAGGTCAAATGTATAAACCTGATGTTAGAAATTACTTTGAAGTAATTACTTTGCCCTTGCCCCTCTCTTTCTATTTTTTTTTATTGTTTTTTGGACTTCAAGTACAAGGTAGGTTTTGCTTTCAGACAAATATACTGTACATATCATAATTTGTCTTTTCTACCTAAAGTGAATCAGACTTTGACCCAAGTACCTACCATTTTCTGTACACAACTGAACTCCTACCTTCCCTGAGAAATTTGGCAAGTGCTGC